CACAAAATCTGGAGGTGCTGCTCTCCTCTAGCTCCCATCGAATTATTTGAGTCCAGAATGCCTAGTTAGCAATCTCTTTATCGCTTCGTGACTAATTCTGCTGAGGTTGATCAGTGTCTTCAATCTTGCTCGGTTTATATTGCGGAGGAGATCTTTGGCCTGTAGCATTCCTAGATTCTCAATCAATCCAATCAAAAATATGCTTTATTGTCTAAGAAAAATTACTTATTGACAAAGCGTTAGATTATACTATCACAAATAATGAGTTACCTGATAAGTAAGTAGTAGTAAAATACTATAATAATTATCCTACATATGAATATAAATATAAAATATAAAAGAATTTATAAAATCACAATACAAACACATTAAAATAATAAAACTTCCTGAATGGTTATGATATTTATATATATATATATCACCATTTGTCACTGTAATATTCTTCTAGGTAATAGTATGCTTTCGTACTCAATATATCTTCAATTGCCTTCCGGAATTTAGATAAGTCAGATAATTGCTTCAAATTAATTGGCAAATGATTGAACATTTTTTTACTTTCAAACATCAATGAATTTTTTGTTAAAGAATATTTTGGAATCGGCAGAGGTATATTGTTGTTTTGCCGTGTCTCGTATGTTCTAAGACTTGTGATATTTTGATTTTTCTTTTTCATCAAACATACAGATTCGAGTATGAAGATGCTGCACAAGGTTAATATTTTGTGGAGCTGAAATAAAGGTTTGCAGTGATCGCTGTTTTTTGCTCCGCACAAATAGCGTATTGCTCTTTTCTGCATTACAAAAACGGAATTGAACAATTGTTGGCTGCAGAAGCCCCAGAAAGGAATACCATTCCGCAAATGCCACTCAATCAATGCAAAATACGATGTTTTAGCAACCGAAAACCCAATTTTCTTCCTAATTAATCGGACAGCGAAACAACCGCTAGCTAATTTTTTGTTCAAGGACGTTATATGATTATCAAATTTCAATTTGTCATCTAGAGTTATACCCAAGAACTTAGTATTCGACTTATTATCAATTATTTTATTCTCTAGATAGAAACTATCATAGTTGAATTTCAAAGTCAGAATATTAGTTTTATTTGCATTGAAACATAAAAAATTGGCATCACACCAGTTTTTTACTTTCTCTAAATCGATCGATATGATATTTTTCAGTGCATCTATGTCATTCCCGTGCCACATTATAGTTGTATCATCAGCAAACATTGTAAACTTTCCTGAGATATCAATGCTTGCTAAGTCATTTAAATATAATAGAAAGAGAACAGGGCCTAGTACTGATCCTTGAGGAACACCACAGTGGATCATTGATTCCTCCGATTCTACATTTTGTATTCTGACCATTTGCGTTTTGTCAGAGAGATATGATTCTATCCAATTGTGGGCAGTACCTCTGATCCCATAACGGTACAATTTTTGAAGCAGTATTTCGTGATTCACACAATCAAAGGCCTTTGAGAAATCACAAAATACTGCTCCAACAACATCACCCTCATTCAGTTTCAGGTAGACGGAGTCCAGAAGATTGAAAACTGCATCGTTTGTGTTAGTTGATGACTGAAAATCAAATTGTATGCTAGATAGTACATTATTATTTCCTTGAAATTTTAATAGCCTTTTTTTGAATAATTTTTCAATTATCTTCGATAATGTAGACAAAATGGAAATCGGTCGGTAATTTGAAGGATCATCTACATTACCATTTTTAAATAATGGGATTACAATTGCAGTTTTCAAACAGGAGGGAAATATGCCTGTCCTGAAAGAAATATTAATTGATTCCGCTAAGACACTGAGTGCAGGATATGTCAGATTTTCGAGTATATTAACAGATATTTCATCGACTCCCATAGATTTTTTGTTTTCGATTTCTTTAAAAATCTGTCTCAGCTCTTGAACGTTTGTATCTTCTGAATGAAATTGCTCTGTAATGTGTATGTGTTCAAGGTAAGCTACTGGATTTGGGTGTGGAACTATGTGAGATGTCAATTTCCCAGCTATTGTACAGTAGAATTCATTGAGAATGTTTGGACTAATATTCGTTTGAACTGGGAGGGTGTTCGTTTTTCCTCGTAGGTTGTTTACTATAGACCAGTTTTCTTTCGATTCATTGTTGGCGTTGTTTATTCTATTATTATAGTATTTTTCCTTAGCATTTTTTATCACAAGATTATAAATGAATTTGTATTTGGTGTAATATTCCAAAAAGAACTTGCTGTCTGTGTGCTTCCTAATTGAGTTCATTGACCTAAAATTATTTGCTGAAATCTTTATTCCTTTAGTAATCCATGGTTTTTTGTTTTTTTTTCTCATTTTCACTAATAGAAAGGCATAGCAATTTGCTTTGACTAGAAGTTCATGGAAAGCATTCAGAGGGTTAGAATTATTCAGCGCACTAAGCCAGTCAATATTATCACAGAGCATCTGGAAGTTGAAGAAATTTTGACCGCTATAAATTCTGCCATACCGTTGCCTCTTTGTCGTATATTTCCACTTCAATGGAATATACGACATCACTGCCTCATGGTCAGAAATACCTGTAGAATTCACGAAAGATGTAACTTCTTCATCGCTAAAATTCGTACAAAAGTAGTCGATAATAGTTGCTGTATGAGCACAAACCCGGGTTTCATTCGAAATTATAATTTCCTTGGCCTCAGAATGATTGGAATGTTCAGTGGCATGGATGCTTCTTCTCGTGCCAGAATGTCTCCTCGTTCATTTTCCTTCGTATAGGTATTTGCGAACCATCTTCTGAGAGATATCACAACAGCTCAATGCTCTGATGGCTGCTTGGCTGTTGAGAAGGATATTAATAATCTTGTTCCGGTATTTCCTGTTGCGTTCGACTTGAATGCACACTTTTATGTCGTCAATTTCCACTTGAAAATGCTGAGGAATCAAATTAGGATGTTGAGTGCGCAGCTCAAACACTCCTTTCTCACTCCACTCCACCATATCATAATATTATTTCTCAGTTCTTGGATCAACTTCGTGATCAGTTCCATCTCGGTGCTCACTATGATACGATTTTTATTCCTGATGATCTCGTCAATTGGGAGAACAGCGAAGTGAGCACTTTCAGTGGGCAATTAATCTCTCATGTTATGTGCTTCTTCTATGAGAACGAATATTTCAATACTGCAATGCACTTCACGAGCAATTCTCTCCACCATGATATGAAAGAGTGTGAGACGACCTCTAAAGCTGCTATCGGAGTTGATCTCATTGCTCCTATTATGCAAAGACATGTGAGTCTCTACACCTTCTCCGTAGGTGATCATCAGTCCCATTCGCATAGCGTTCATCTATCGCAGTATTGATGAGTTGTAACCTCATGTCTTTCCAGCAATATTCCAGCATACCATAAATGATTATATCGCCTTGATAGTAATCTTTCCAACGTATCAATTTCAGAAAAGCTCTGCGTCTAGGTTTAGCCCCAGATACTTCACCTACTGTTGCCATTCTAAGTCTTTCTCGTCAAGACGAACACTCCTTCAGTGCTCTCGATTAGTTTTTTTGATAGGTGATTCACTCAATAACAATATCTTCGAAAGATATCAATCTGTATGAATACTGTATATAGGTTTATCGAGTAGGTGGTACATTCATTTTACCAGAGTTTTTGGGATTCACTCTCCTTGTTTCTATAGGATGAAAATATCAGTGTCATGTCAGAATTTGAGTAGTTCATGAAAATCAGATGATTTGCCATGAAATACTTCTATTGAAAATGTTCGTATCAGACCAGAATCATCGAAAATGGAAGATTCGATATTAACAATCAGTGAAAAATCGTGTAGCTCATTTGTATGCCAAATCCAAGATAGGTCACTGAGAAATGGAAACACTGAAATATGGAGATAATCTGAAAGTATATACTCATTCTTGATTTTAATGCTAGTAATGAAAGCAAATTCGTTGTCGAAACATCCGAAGATAAGTGAAAATTTGATATTTCCTCAATATTTGCATTTTACGCTGCTTCAAACATTTTTCGCAATGAAAGGTTACTGATTATCCTACTCATCTTGGGATTACCTGAATGATCGCAAGCCAGAGACAACTTTTGTTATCGCAAAAACACTAGATGTCAATCATTTCTGATTGTTTCAACAGCGTTGGTGTTTTCACCGATTTAACCATGGATAGCAGCAGAAAGCCTGTCATTTTGAGATATAATAGTTATAGTTGTAGTTTTCTGAATCTATCGTATTGGTCATATGGCTTGTTCATTGATAATAAATGTTTGTCTGTTCTGGATATCATCTTTCGATTCTGATATATGGTAGAGAACAATATTTCTGCGACGTGCATTGAATGAGTTTCAGGAACAAGACACACTTTGAATCATCACCACAAATAATTCAGTACACATAAGAAACATATGAATGAATTTTCTGACTTTAAATAATCCATCATCAGCAGCATCATCGGAGAATTCCGACCAGGTGGCTGTACCCTTTCCTTCATAAAGTTCCTCTCAGGCTGTGGGCGCAATTTGCCCTCTTTCATCTTCACAAATATTAATTCTCTTGAGTTTTTATATCCTTCATATTGTAACATCGCAGTTTCTTTTTCCTCACCCCCACAAATTTCTTTGATAATACTGCTCATGATGGACTATTGATAGTCCTAAACATGTTCAGATGTTCCTGAGGTGAAAAAATGAATTTGTGAAGATGCCTCAGAGTGTGTCTTGTTTCTGGAACCCCATAATACCGTCCCTCAATGTTAACTTCATCGCCTTGCGGCACTGTATTACCACTTGTCCTGACGGACTTGTGGTGTTGCTTGGCAACACAATTTCGTGAACAAACAAGCGCAAAATTATCTAGATTATTCAGAATATCGTGATATCACCTATTACAATCGACCCAATTTTTTTCTGAGGCTTTCTGATTAGCAAATTTTTCAACCCAGTGACATGTTTCCATTCAATATGAACGAGAAAAAAACAATATATGTGGATCTCAAATAATAAAATAGTATCAAGATGATTTATTGATTCTTTGTTTGTTATAATCATAAAAGTGAGGAAATCAATGTAACTTCCTGAATTTCAAATGTACACGTTGTGTAAATCTCAGAAGGAAGGTGTCTGGATGTATCTTCAGTGGTTTTTCAGTGGCTGGGCTTGGAAGAACTTTGTAGTTCCTCAAGATGGTTGCTAAACCTAGTCTGACCTGCATATAGGCGTAACGCAAACCTACAAAGGGAAACTCAGATGTTATAAGTGTAATCGACAATCGTAAAAAATAAGAGCTCTACTGAATTATACTTCATCTCTCTCGGAGCATTCGTCGTGAGAAGCTCTGTTCTCGAAGTAATATAGGCTTCGGAATTAAAAATGAAATCATTTTCATGCACATTCAGTATATATCTCCTATTGTTGAGCAAAAACCTGTGAACCGCAAAAGTGACAACAATTTATAGCGATGTTCATTATGGTTATATAGTCATCACAAACTGGCCGGTAGTGAAAAATATTTGGTAACTGTTTTCAATGCATGAAACTATTTGCGTTCTCATGCAGTAGCGTCATCAATTGAATTTGAAGTAGCATCGAATGCATGCGAAGTGGTTTCTGTTTGTATTTGAAAACATTGATACTGCGAAAGAGAATTGCATACTTCGAACTCGTCTGAGTAAACCCGAAACAATCAACTGAACATGTGAGGAGCTGGAGGGTATTTCTGAACAATCATTCAACGTATGCTTTTCTGCAGTCTCATTCCTGGTGACAATCATATCACGATAAAATACTTAGCATACAATTGTGGCGTGAACATGGGCTGTAGTAACATTTCAAATATGCACTTTTCATTTAATCACAATCAATGGAAATTCTTGAATACTTCAGCACATATGCACGCCACGATTGAAGGCGAAGTGGTCCTTTGTAATACAAGTAATACCAAAAATGAGTCTGCGAACAAGCATATATTGAATAATGATTGTTAAAAGATACCCCACTCCCCATCATATGTTCAGTTGATAGTCATCATTTCAATGAATACCAATCTGAATGCATTCACATAATAGTCGAAACCATCAATATTCACTGAACATTTGAATTCGATCGGTGACGTCGCTGCATGCGAGCAAAAATTGAAAATTGTCTAGGTCAGGTTGGAGACCCATGGAAGTCCTCACCTTCGAGTTGCACATATTGAAAAGACGATACAAAATATTGATCACTACTGGCCATTCGATGAAAACAAATGTCTCCATTGAACTATCGGACAGCTATACCGAAATAATCAAGCACATTTGATTAGTTTGTTTTTACTCGAAAACAATGTGAGGCTATTTCTGTATAGCACCCAACATCATCTTTTATTCTACAAAACAAAGGGTTTTCTGATCGAGAAACTTTCGAAAGAAGTTATATCCTGAAACGAATCATCTTTGAGTCCGCCATACGTACCAATTTCTTAGTTTCCAAGATGAAACATAATCATGATCAGAATTTTTACTCACCAATACAGTTTCTGGGTCCATCACCGAACGGAAAATAAGCAGGTAACTTTTGATTCCTATTCTCGAACCGATCTGGATTCCATTTCAGGGGGTCTTGATAGAAGTCTGGATCACGATGCATGCCCAGAACTGGGACGATTATTTTTGTTCCCTTTTCAATGATTATGTCACTCCCTGGAAACTTGTAATCTTGCACGCACACCCTCAAGATGCTTGCTACTGGAGGCCATTTCCTCAGGGTTTCTGAAAGTATAAAATGAAAGGGATAACGTCGATATAGTCATGGAAAAAATATAATATGGCGCGAGTCTATACTCACACCATTATTAAACGTCTACAAAGATGCGGTATAGCACACAATTGAATGATAATGTAACGGAGTCATTGAAATTATCATCAACATCTTTGTTTCATGTTATACACTGTATATACGATTTTCAATATCGTTGGCCTCATGAAGAGGTATCAATACCGTTCCTGACGTCATTCGTGGTTATAGCGATACACCAGAGATGCTAGAGTCCACGCATCGTCATCGGCTGCTGAGTTTGTCACCGTATTATGCTTTTCATTATCGAAATCATTCGGAATCATCTCATGAATTCTGTACACATGACTGAGCTGAATTTTGACCAAGTTCTGGGAACATTCAAATAAATGACCAATCAAACGCCAGAGTCTGCGAATAAGGAAGGGGGCGACGCATAAAAAAATTACGGCAAAGCGTAATCATATTATATGAGTTCCCAAGGTTTGGAGAACAAAACACACTAGAAGAACAATGGTTTCGACCGAATGAATTATTATGACTTCCCACCCATTTTAAGACAAACAAAATAGTGACTTTTTCAGAAAATGACGATCCCTGTGATTCCAATTTCAAAACTGAACAACACTGAACGTTTGAATGTTCAACACACTCGCAGAGCTCGTTCCAAGGAAACAGTCGGATTGAGATTTTCATGCCCAAAGTCACAGGTTCACTTCAAAAAAAAAAACCCGACTTTTGAAGCCCAGAAGTACTTTTGTTGGGACCGTTAACGATGTAACGAGGAAGGTGGCAGCGGTGGAGGCTACTCCTAGTCATCTTCAATGATTAGTGGTGTCCCGTACCGTACCAGAGTCTCACAACAGTGGGACAAAGATTGAAACATATAACATCAGTGTTCGATTTGCCTCCGAGTAGTCAACACTACCTAAGATCTTCAACGATCAGCCTGATTTTTTCATTAATGTTTCAGGAATAATCTACTATTTTACTACCTGCTTTTCTGAAGATTAGGTCGAATGGTCGATGACTGGGGCAGCTGGAATCAAGTATCATGCTCCTCGAGAAGAAAGTATCATTCTCCTAGAGTGATCATTAAATCATGCAATCACATTTCATTGCGCTTTATAGATAATAATGAATAGGCCGTTCAGTCATTATTATTATACTCATTGTGAATGTTGAAATCACTTGTTCCATAAGTACTTTGATAGCACTTTGATAATTGGGATCAGGCTTGCTGGATGCATATTCAATGAATCAATCGATGAATAATTGAATATTTGTGCCAGCCCAACGAAATATATATATCTTCGATTATCCTTCGTATATTCAATATCAACAATTCATTAATTATAATAATATAGCAATCAGCAATTCCGAATTGTATGTAGCCTGTCCGCCCTACAGGCAGCTTCAAGGTCTCCAATCTCAGCAGTTGAATCTTGTCTGCGAGTCATAGTGTAGAAACAAGGTACAAAAGAGACAGCTCCTCAAAACTCACTATGAATTGTAATAAACTGATTTCAACCGTAGTGTCCCTTCACAAGAGCTTCCTCATCAGGACTTCGCCAGACATGAGCCCAGCAGTTGAACAGGTGGGTAAAAAAACCCTATCTCTCAGAAGACAACTGTGGACCTCAAAAAACAAAAATTTTCAGTAGGTAGTAGTCATGCGTGGTGAAGACATGAAAGTATACCCAGAATATTTCAAGTACCAACATTCCAAAAAAGAAAACACAGAATTGGTGTCACCATCGCCTCCTTTTGAAGAATTCTGGTGACGAAGTGTCATGAAGATGGTCGAAGAAATGAGAAAATCCTTGACGGTTGCTGGACGGTAGCTGAAAAGCGACGACTTCAGGAGGCAGAGTCCCGTGAAGACGCGGAAGAACTAGAACAACAACAGCTCATATGAATAACGGATCGAAGGACTGCACGCCAGACATCACGAAATAACATATTGAATGTGCAAAATGTGGTGAAACCCACACGGCATTCTATAGGGGATGCAGGATATTTCATGAAAACAAACCCACACTAACAGAACACGACCCACAACCCATCCCAAACCACAACAGTCAAGACAAACAAAAACTATGAACACAACGAACACAACAACAATCCCAAGAACAACATATGACAAGCATAAACACAAATACACTTCAAGGCCTCATGGCAAGGATTACACTCGAAAACATGAAGAAGAATACATTCATTTTTATGATTCAAACAATCGAATAACAATCAATGAATGCAAGAACGATGTCTAATTGAATTTTTGATGATCAGTTCCTGGAATTTTCATAATGCAGCAGTCTGGAAAACGGAACATATGATACTTCTTCCGAGAATCCAGATAGGCGTAATATTCTTGCAAAAAACACTTTCAACCCGACCAAAAACATCCACATCACCTGGCAAATCTGTTAATGAGGAGACAAAATACAGAAAGAGCAACAAAAGGCACCCTCCTGCTCGTGACAACTGACCTCATACAAAACCTAGACTGACTGGTCATGGAAACTCTAGAAGTCAAAATGAACACCACATGAGGACGACTAGGAATCATATGAACTCACATACCACCAGGACCAAACATTACACGTGAAGAGATCAACGAATGCTTCTGAGACAACCTACTGACCATACTTATAGGAGAATTGAACGCGAAACCCAGAGAATGGAATCAAATTGACAAAAACCAATGGGGAAGCAAACTGACGAACGAACTCTTCCCTTTTTCCGACACACCACCCAACGACGAAGCGACTGCTGACCACAATACTCATCACGATAGTGTTGTAGAGTCCATTCATAAGATATATACCTGTTTCGTGATATTTTCTATAATGAATTCGAATTTAATAATTTCATCTGTTGATACCCTGTCTATTCCACAAGAATAAGGTGTCAGGTATTGCCTCAACATGTTTTGTCTATATTTGGAATGTTTCATTATGTATGCTGATCAGGAATTACAATTTCAACCAGGAATTCTAACGTTCTTGGGGTCTAGCGGGAATGATAACAGAGACATAGGGTGTTCAAGCTCACATGTTTCTATCATAACTTCTGACTCATCATCTTCAATCATTCAATCGAAACAAATACAGGGTGGTTCAAGATTCAGAATTCTGGTCACCCTGCATCTGTTTCAATCAGATATGAGTAGTTGTATATCCGAAGTTGAGATAGGGACATGTGGGTGTGAAATTCTGATGGAATCAGCTCCTCAGGAATGATTCGAAAGTTCAATGCTACACAGGGCATTCCATTTAAGAGATGAAAACTTTGATACATTCTGTGTTTTTGGTACAATCTATACAATGCTTTGTGTCGAATAACTTCAATAACCCTAGCATTTGCCATTTTTGCAGTTGTCTGATGCAGGCAGGTCAAATTTCACAATATGATTGGTATAACGTTTCAAACTGCTCGACCAAAGGTCCCGCAATATCTTTATGTCAGTTTCTCTCGAAGAATTACTGATCGACAAATGTTTTTGGAAAGCAAGAGGAATTTATTCGGTAAAGAAACAGTTCGAGTGTTTTTGGGCCAAATAAACTAACAAGAATAAACAAATGAACATCAATAGAAAAAAACTTCATCGATGATTTCGTGTTCGGTTTCTCCACACAAAATATTCTCAAAACGAATCATCTTGCTGATTCACGCGTGAACGATACCCAACAATCGAACATGACACTACAAAATTTTGAGGGACATCAGGGGCCCATCATTTTTCGTTGATGTCAAAATGACTCAAGTCATCGTCAAACAGCGTTTTTTGTGGAGGAGTTGATTTATCGACAAAAATATATACATTCCATCACCCGGTAGCAACCCCAACTTTTGATTCCTTATTCAGACAACCTGTGTATTTCAATAATCTGATCAAGATCCTGTATTCAAAAATGGATAAATATACAGCATGCTCTGTTCGAAAATTTAGAAATGAGGTTCATCTCGGTTGTACCAGAAGCGATGATAGTATTTTTTCGTCAATGAATGAGTAATGTGGAGTATTTGCTACCTTCAGAATCGAAGCATTCTGAAAACTGTCTTCTTATTATGCTCGAAATTTATGAAAATGATCCCTTAATGATTAGATATCTGTTTTTACCATCGATTGCTTGACCAAGGTATTTCATTCCCATGAGTGATTCGTACGTCAGATCATTGTTATTTTCGTCGAAGGTGCTTATCACTTCTTTCCTCAGTCTGTCCTGGGCCTCTTGATTCTCAGCCAGTTCGAACAATGTCATCGTTGTGGTGGTAGCAGAAGTGTCGAATCCAGCAACGAAAAATAAGAATGCCTGAAAATGAAGAATGTCTCAGAAAAATATAATACATCGCTTCCGTCCATGACCGAAAATTTGTTAGAAAAAGTAAGGTGATATAGTGTGAACAACATTCTTTTCAAATCAATTCCGTATAGGTAACTCAAAAACAGGACGTAACCCCATTATCCTAAGGAATATGATTCATATTTCGGTTGGTGAGAAATTCACTGTTATTTGCGAAATGGCCATTCATTTCTCTCGTCTATCTAGTCTTTCATGCTGAAAGTCGAAAGTCGAAAACTCTTGCATCTATGCCGCCGACTATGGGTTACGATTCGACTGAACTATAAGTATATCATTGAAGTGGATATCAGGGTCTTCAAAACACGCGCGATATTTTGCCTTTTTTTGAACAGCCTAGCCAAAAGTGTTTAGAAGAGCGCAAGTGTTTCAAAGATCAGTTATTCAAAGATAATTCAGGCTATTTCCGATATTGATACACTTTGATTTGGAGAAATGCTTGACCTACTGATACATCATAGTAGGGAGGGCGAAGAGGCTCTATAGGAATTGACTCGATCGTCGTAGGAAAGTATCAGATTGTGAAGATTCGATGCGAGAATGAGAAGAGATTTACATGATATATGACCTTGCAATGGTGGAGAAATCGTGTATAGGTGTTCGAAAATGCAAACAAAAACATTCACATTCAGAAATACTTGAGTGCATCATATATTAATAGTGTATGCGCTCCACGTGTTTTTGATAGCCAAAAAATATTAATTGGCCGGTCTGCATGGTGAGGGTGGCCGTACGAAGAGATAGAAAATAGGCGAAAAAAAATCAATTCGAGCCCGTCAGATATTGAGGAGGGATGTTGAGTGATCCCTCAAGTGGCTCCTTTCCAAAAGACTGACAATTTGGACGTGACCAAAATTCATGATCAAATTTTGGAAATGACAGATAATACGTGACCTTGGAATTCTCGAGAGCGTCAGATCATTATACAGGCGCGTCATCCCAATGTCCTTGTCGTATCGACTCATGATCTGACAATTATGTCGAGGAATTACCTTGATCTGACGGTTGCTCTTCTTTTTGTAGATGAACAAAAATTATTCTTGAGTTGGTATAGTCTCATAAGCAATACATCACTGGAATACTTTGCGTTATACGGGGTTACGTTACGTTACAGGGGTGGCGTATCAAAGTTATACTTTCTTTATAGCACACCTTGTATTTCATTGCATTTCTATATTCCACAGATAAGGTGTGAGCACCACACTTGATTGCTGATTTTCGCTACTTCCGCTTGTTCGAATCGGCAGATTATTATATTTCCTTGATTCGTGACTATAACTGCCTCCAGAATGAGAAGAAAATCAACCACGCTCGAGAATGTATAGGTGAAGTATTTTTTCGCAACTTTGTGGCTCTTTCATTTCTTTATCTCACGCTCAAGTCGTCAGATTATTGAAAGGCACACTTTTCTGCATTCAATCAACGTATTATATCCCAATCTGACGCGCTGGAGTATTGCTGTCGATCGATTCTTTTTTTTTAATCTGATCGGCTGCCCCAAACTTTCTACACCATATAAAGGGGCTCAGAAAGGGTAAGAGTACTCCACAAGGTCCAAGGATACCCTCCTTATGTTAATCGCCGCGCTCGAGTAAATCCCGAAATCCCCGCTTGGTCTTACCTACTATCAGTATATTATACTGATATCACCTCCAGAGTCATGGTACTTCTGTTAGATCCATAATTGGAACGTTTGACACTCACGCGGTGTCCTACATGGGCAAACTCTATGCGAAGCCTAAATGACGGGATGCAACGCAAATTGATTGACTGTACACTGAGAACTTGGGAAATCTCCAAAGGAATCGATCAAAACTGTTCAAGCCTGAGGATCTAGTTGGCCATGACTTAGTTTTCCTCACGACCTATCCAGCGATTATAAAATTTTTGGTTTGAATATTCGCGTGCCAGAGCACTAAAGTAAGCAGGTGCTTATCGTGCATCGTACATGAACCACATGAGATTTTGCATCGAAATAGGAACAGAATCGGCAAATTTTCCTCAGGGAATCGGTGATAATAAAATCCATCCAATCTCTTTGGTAGAAAAAAGCCGATGGTGTTATCTGTGATAATTCCAGCACATACATTCAATGAGAAATGCTCCTGGCCATGAGACCATGATTGCATGCAGATTTTTCTTGGCCAAAAACTGATTATCATGAACATTTCTGATCCTGTTCTTGATGAAACTGGCTTCGTCCGTGAATGAAATTTCTCTGTCGAATTGAGGATCTTCAGTAACTTCTTGTAAAAATCATCGGCAGAAATTCATCGTAACGGACGGTCTCGAGGAAGTAGAGCCTGAACCAGTTGGATGTGATAGGGATATAATGAATAATCATGAAGACTCCTCCATATAAGACTATGGGCAATATTGATATTATTGACAACTTGCCTCGTACTTATTCCAGGATTTTCTTCAACTCAATTTGAAACAGCTACCTCAACTGCTGAAGTACTTGCAGTCCGATGTGCTCGTTTCAAGTGATGATTTGGCTCAAAACTTCCTGTTTCATATAACCTTCTATGGGTGTTTGGAATCGTCCGAGCATTAGGAACCATTATATTCAAATCAAATCAAATATTTTATTCATTCAAAAGACCTAATTTAGGTATAGAATTTGTCAAGGTCAAAATACAATACATGTTTGTTTAAAATATTTATGTATAAAATTATAAAATGCCTTGAAATGTAAGTACCTACGTAAAAACAACACACAAATTAAAAATGTAATGAGAAATGCAGTCACATAAACAGTTCATTGATATCATGAAATAGATTTGCCATCAGAAAATGTTTAATGGAATTTCGGAACTTGGAGTGTGATGATTGATTCTTCATCTCTTCAGGTAATTGGTTATAGACTCTTATGCCAGTTGAGAGTGGACCACTTGATGATATTTGAAGGTTATTTTGACTTGGATATATCAACTGGTTGTATCTGGTTTGATAGCAATGTATGTCCATATGCCTAGGAAGAGTTTTTCTTATTTCATGAATGTAACATGCTAATTCCATTATATAGAGACATGCTAGGGGTAATATATTCAACTCAGCAAATAGGGGTTTACTAGAGAGTCTGGATGATACGCTTTTCATGGTTCTCAGTGCTTTTTTCTGTGCTAGGAATAATTGCTGTGCCGCTGGAGAATTACCCCATAGTAAAATGCCATAAAGTAAAGTGGACTGAATTTCTGCAAAGTAAAAATTTCTCAGACAATGAATGTCAACAACCTTCTGCATACATCAAATTTGAAATATTTTTGTATTTATCATTTTGATTTCATTAGATATATGATCTTTCCAACTGAGATCATCCTCCCGAGTTATTCCTAGAAACCCAAGACTTATCATTTGTCTTATTTATTTTATTTTGCATTGGAAAACATTTATCAAATATCACCAGGAACCTTTCTAAAAATATGTTGAATTTATTATTGCAATCCTGAGTATCATACACTTGCCCCCATGTCTCATCTTTCAAGCATTGTCCAAAATCTTGTTTGTTGATGGAATTGGAATTTCGTTTTTCCATAAACGCTGTACAGTGATTATTGTTTTTATTATCAATAGACTCTGAACTGGAAGTTACTCTAGTATTTTCAGACACTATGTCATGTAAACCATATTGTGCCATTATATTTAAGATCTCATTTGCCTCAGATGAGGTATTGTTGAAGTTCACATTGAAATCTCCGGTAATCCAAAGATACGCATTCAAGGAGAATATTGCATTCAGGATGACTTCCAGCCTTTCCATAAACACTTGAAAATTGCCTGTTGGAGCTCTATATATACAAACAATGATATGATTTACTTTATTCATGGTCCATTTCATTCCACAAATCTCTATATCTTGTTCAATGCAATATTTACCAGTATCAACCAGTTCAACATCCAAGTCATTTCTGGCCCAAATAGCACAACCCCCTCCTCTCAAGATAACTCTACTGTAATGACTAATGAGGTGATACCCATTGATGGATATACTACACACTTCATTTTCTTCAACCCATGTTTCTACAAGAGCGATAAAATATTGTTGTGACTCATTCAGATCTACTTCTAATAAATTATTTTTATGATTGATACTACGGACATTGAGAAAATATATAAAATTGATAAAATCATTACAAATATTTTTTATTCTAGTTTGTGATAATAAATTTTCACCTCCATTTTGGGTATTGGCTCCATAACTCAATATTTCTGAAGAGGTACATTGTTTGCAGGGGATTTCAATTCTCTCAACCGTTTGAAGTCCTGTACTTGATGGTCCAATTGAAAATTTGGTGTTTCCAATGAACTGCCATTCCTGATTCGGTCAAGGTATTTCTCCTTTTTTCTGATGTTGAATCTATGGACAGCTACTCCTCTTGGCCAGAAGTTGTTTGTGTAAGCTTCTTCTTTCATATTGTAATTTAATCCAATTTTGAAACATTTATTATCTTTGATTTTCTTGAATGTATTTATTTCTTTAATGTATACTTGGCCTTCGCTATTTGATTTTGTATTGAGGTATTTCACTATCTTATCTTCCGTGACGTGATCCTTCACCCTGGATACGAAAAGCCAGATTTTTTTCTCATGGTCTCTACCTACAAAACCAGTAGTTTCATCTTCATCACTTATTTGAGCTTGCCCAATTTGTGCTCGATGTTTTTTCCTGTGTCTTACAATAGTTTTTTGAATAGTCGCCTTGCTTCATATGCATTCTCGTCAGCAAGCCCATACCAGGCGATGCATGTCTGCTTATTCGGTATTTGTGAGATTCACCATGTTCTTCTCAATAGACAGCTGAACGAGTTGAAAACAACGAAATATGTTCTCAGCATAGTAGATAATCTTACTACCCTCCACCGTCTGATATTTTTTTTCGTGGGAACCAGAACATGAAAAAATTAATGCATTTTATTTTCTAATTCAAAAACCGTTCACCAGAGGTGAAA